CTCTGCCCTGACATTCCCAGGCAGCATCCCACGTTCCACGTGGCCTCCCTGCCAAAACATTCCCGCCCAGCATCCCAGATTCCACGCGGCCTCCCCACCACAACATTCCTGGGAAGCACCGTGTCCTCCTTGCCATAGCATTCCTGGGAAGCATCTCAGCCTCCATGTGGCCTCCCTGCCATGACATTCCTGGCAGGTGCTGCGTGGAGCCTCCGGAATGTGCCGAGGCAGCGGAGTGAAGCCCCTGGGACACGGGTCAGCAGTTCCTGGCAGCAGGAGATGCTGAGCAGGGAGGGGGAGGACTGCAGTGTCCCCGTGTCCCTGTGTCCCAGTGTTCCTGCATTCCCATGTCCCAGTGTCCTTGTGTCCCTGTGTCCCAGTGTTCCTGCATTCCCATGTCCCAGTGTTCCTGTATTCCTATGTCCCAGTGTCCCTGAATTCCTGTGTCCCTGTGTCCCCATGTCCCTACATTCCCATGTCCCAGTGTCTCTGTGTCCCTGCATTCCCATGTCCCAGTGTCTCTGTGTCCCTGCATTCCCATGTCCCAGTGTCCCTGTGTTGTGTCCCTGCATCCCCATATTGCCGTGTCCCTGTATTTCTATGTCCCTGCATCCCTGTGTCCATTTCCCCATGTTCCCATATCCCTGTTTCCCCATGTTCCCATATCCCTGTTTCCCCATGTTCCCATATCCCTGTTTCCCCATGTTCCCGTGTCCGTGCATCTCCGTGTCCCCACATCCCCGTGATCCCACAGCCCCATGTTCCTGTGTCCCTGCATTCCCATGTCCCCGTGAGCCCATATCCCTGTGTTCTCATGTTCTCATGTCCCTGTGTTCCCATGTTCCCACGTCCCTGTGTTCCCGTGTTCCATATCACTGTCCCCATGTCCCTGTGAGCCCATGTCCCTGTGTTCCCATGTTCCCATGTCCCTGTGTTCCCATGTTCCATGTCCCTGTGAGCCCATATCCCTGTGTCCCCGTGTTCCCATATCCCTGTGCTCCCATATCCCTGTGTTCCCATGTTCCCATGTCCCTGTGTTCCCATATCCCTGTGTTCCCATGTCCCTGTGTTCCCATATCCCTGTGTTCCCATGTCCCTGTGTTCCCATGTTCCATATCCCTGTGTTCCCATGTTCCCATGTCCCCATGTTCCCATATCCCTGTGTTCCCATGTTCCCATATCCCTGTGTTCCCATGTCCCCATGTTCCCATATCCCTGTGTTCCCATGTTCCATATCCCTGTGTTCCCATGTTCCCATGTCCCCATGCTCCCATATCCCTGTGTTCCCACGTTCCATGTCCCTGTGTTCCCGTGTTCCATGTCCCTGTGTTCCCATGTTCCATGTCCCTGTGTCCCCACACCTGCAGTCCCCGGGTGGGCTCCACTCCAGACCCCCACAGGCACCACTGGCCTGGAGCTGCTGCCACAGCTGCATCCACGGCCACATCTGGATCTGTGGTAACCCCTGGATCTGTGTCCAGCACATCTGCATCAGTGCCAGTGCCTGCATCCCTGGCAACACCTGGATCCGTGCACCCACCACCACATCTGCATCTGGGGCCACAGCTGGATCAGTGCCCACAGTCACACCCACGGCACATCTGGATCCTCCCACACAGCTGCATCCACAGCCACATCTGTGTCCCTGCCCACATCTGGATCCTCACACACAGCTGCATCCACAGCCACATCTGTGTCCCTGCCCACATCTGGATCCGTGCCCAGGACTGCAGCTGTGGCCACATCTGCAGGCACATGCACATCTGTATGCACAGGTCACAGCTGTACCCACATCTGCACCAGTGCCAACGTCCCTCTGGGCACACCAATCCCAAGTCTGGGCCCCATGGGGGGCCAGGATGGGCCAGGGGGGATCTGGGATCCGCCCTGGAATTATGAATCACGGTGTAATTACCCCAAATGGGCCCAGAGCTCCAGAGCTTCAATCAGGGAAATCACAGGAGTTCCAGGGAATTTTAACATCCAGAGACATTAATGAGAACAGGCTCAAACATGGGGATCTGTCCTGCTCACATCCTGCATCCCTCCTGTACACATCCTGCATCCCTGATGCATCCCTCCTGCATCCCTCCTGTACACATCCTGCATCCCTGATGCATCTATCCTATACACATCCTGCATCCCTCCTGTACACATCCTGCATCCCTGATGCATCCCTCCTGCATCCCTCCTGTACACATCCTCCATCCCTGATGCATCTATCCTATACACATCCTGCATCCCTCCTGCATCCATCCTGTACACATCCTGCACACCTCCTGTACACATCCTGCATCCCTCCTGTACACATCCTGCATCCCTCCTGCATCCATCCTGCACACATCTTGCATCCCTTCTGCATCGCTCCTGCCCCCACCTTTCATCCATCCTACATCCCTCCTCCATCTGCCCAAGGCATCTGGGATCTCTTGGAATCACCCAGTATCCCTCAGAATCACCTGGGATCTCTCAGGATCACCTGGGACACTCTCAGTATTGCCTGGGATCTCTCAGTGTCCCCTGGGATCTGTTGGTGACACCCTGGATCTCTCAATATCACCTGGGATCTCTCAGGGTCACCCTGGATCTCTCAGGATCACCCTGGATCTCTCAGGATCACCCGGGATCTCTCCACATCCCACAGGACACTCTCAGTATTCCCAGGATCTCTCGGTACCTCTGGGACCTGTCAGTGTTGCCCCTGCCCCGGATGCCCCC